CACCCCCCGCCAGCCCTACCCCCTGATCAAACTCCCAGACAACTCCCAGTTGAGGGGACAATTTGCATACTATGCTTATTATATAGGATGGATGAGTGGGTTAGTTGAAAGAAACATGGATAAAATTCTTTAAACATTACTTTGATTTGTAGATTTGTTTTAGAAACTATGTAATAATTTACACAATGATGAAATAAAATTAAATTTTAAAAAAGAAATTCACCAAAATTAAATGTAAAATTAATCAAGGAGCCTCATGTAATTCAAACTAGTGGCTTAACCAGAAAGGAAACATTCTAAGTTACTTTAAAGCAAGTCATTTGATTGTATATGTTTTTTAGAGAGAGGGGGAGAGACTGATGTGAGAGCATAACATTGATCAACTGCCTCCTGCATGCCCCCTACCAGAGCTGGGCATGCAACAAACCAGCAACCTTTTGGGCACTGGACGATGCCCAACCACCGAGCCACACCTGCCAAAGCTGATTGTATGTTCTTTTTTATTATTATTTATTTGTAGTAATTGAAATTGAAATTTTATATCTTTTATATCTTTTTTGTTGTTGTAAATCCACACCTGAGAATATTCTTTCCATTTATTTTTTGTGTGTGTGTGTGTGTATAATTTTTTTTTAAAATTTCAGAGAGGGGGGGGATAGAAACATTAATGATGAGAAAGAATCACTGATCAGCTGCCTCCCGCACACCCCCTAATGGGGATCAAGCCCAAAACCTTGGCGTGTGCCCTTAACAGGAATCGAACTGGGGACCCCTTCAGTCTGCAGGCTGACGCTTTATCCACTGAGCCAAACCAGCCAGGGCTCCATTTATTTTTAGAGAGTGGGAGGGAGGGGGAGAAAGAGAGCAAGGGCGAGAGAGCGAGAGCGAATGATTGGTTGCCTCCCGCACATGCTGGAGTGCAGGATCCAGCCTGCAACCCAGGTACATGCTCTTGACTGAGAAACAACCCAAGACCCTTTGGTTTTCCGGCCAACACTCTAACCACTGAGAACCACCGGTCAAGGCTGATTATATTCTCTTAATGGGATTTATCCTTAGGATAAAAATAATCAAAGAGAGAAAAAAAAACTGAAACTCTTTTCAATCACTTTACTGCTGACGATAGTTTTGAAATTATTATTCTGAAACTGTTGTTTGTGTAATGTGACATAAAGGAAGTCATCTACACTAATAAAAGAGAAA